ACATGAGACATTCTGCTCAATAAATTACAGTAGTACGGTATCGTATAAAAGCAAGTCATAATTAATTTTTACTTTTTCTGTCTCTTCCATTATTTGTCTCCTGTTCTTCGTTCCCTTCTATAGTACTTTCTTTCTACATTTATTTATTTCATAACTATCCAAAATGAGATAAATTTGGAAAAATATAGGATAAAAATAAACTGTAAATAAATATGAATATAAATAAAAACTAATAATACTGTGGAAGGTAGTTCAACGTTTTGCCGATATAATTATTCTTTCTAAAATATTTCACTAACGGTTTGAAAGACTGAATAGTTTTGAAAACACTGACTGCGGAAATTTATAATTTAGGTAACAGACGAGACGGAGAGAGACAGAAACAAAGAAGGAAACATGCGACTACGACAAAAAATATCATAAATTATGAATAAAATTAGTGGGAAGAAATGTCTACGTTGACAGACTATTCACTTCCCATAAGTTGACGCTAATCTCTCTACATAGCCTTTTTTAAAGTTTCCAAATCATTTTCTACACTGAAATGAGCGAACGGCATTTAAGGTCTATCCTAATGTACCAGAGATTGAGTGCTTTCTCTTCCACTAAAGGAAAATATTTATCTTTCCATAAGCTTTTTAAGATATTAAAATTTCTGTAATGAAAATTTACACAAAAACATCCTGCACTTTGGGTATAGCAAAATGGAGTTCGCGAATTCCGGTAAGCGATATTTTAGGCCGTCTAGACGCCGTTACGTGTTTACAGAAATTAGAAGCAATGAGTGTAACGAGAAAGGGGTCTCAAAGCTCCAGTCCAGATGCGCCCTAGTGGTTCCATTCTCATCCGTATCTATTCCTCACACACGTCTTCGAACTTTCCTACGAAATCTCAATTATCGAACTACCGGTCTATATATTATCACTCCAAAATCGTTCGGCTGTAAGTGCCTTAGGGTCGATATTTCAACTGTCAAACCCTTCGATTAAACGGTAATCGATTTCCTAAAGACTTATCTTTTTGTAGAAACACTAAGACTTATTTCCAGGAGGTTTTAACACCTTCAGGTGACACCAATTTATCTGTAACGTCATCATGTAACCACATAATGACACTTTAACGCAACTACTTTCTACACTTGCCTTCCCCGCCAGTAAATTCCACCAAATTCTAATTTAAATTATTTACTCCTCAGATTTATTCAAGGTCCGATCACAGTGGCCGACCGATCTGTAACATGAAATGTCTTCGTCCGCTCAAACTCTTGGATAGTGAGTTCGAATTCCACTCCATGTATAGATATATCTCTCCATTTTTTCTATATTTGTGTTGTCCTGTGTAGGTAGTGGTCTTGCGACGGACTGATCCCCCTTCCAAGGAGTCCTACCGACTGTCTTTAACGATCATAGTTCCAGAAAAAAATTATTTCCGATGGGAACAGATCAGCGGGCCTAATACGAAAGGGTAGATGAAGAAGAAGAATTGAAGGAAGCATCATTCATTTACTGTTAGCAGCCATTGTGCGCTTCAAACTAATTTCACAGACCAGAGTTCTTGAAAAGCTGATAGTCGCTCATCCGTTTAATAAACTTCCTGATTTTTAAGGTACTCTAAGCTCCATGTCCATACGAGCCAGCGAAAAGTTTTCCGAAGCCGAGAGCGTCTGACGCAGGAGTACGATGTACTGTCCCTTGGGATATAATACGGTGTAGTGTGACTGCTGCCTGCTGTGACTGGAGCCTGTTTTCTGTACCCGCTCTCCAGGGAACAGCCAATGGTCCCGTTTAACTTGTTCATTTAAAAGCTGGCGTCTTTATAGAATTTGTTCCCTAACTGTAAAACTACCATGACACTAAGGAGACGTGAATGTTCCACTGTCGCCCTACATAATTCTGTTTGTCACATTAGACACTGGGTCCATTGGAGAACTGAAACCAGGACACATCAACAAGTGACAGGTCCATTATGTTGACAATAATATCGTATAATGAAAGACTAGCAATCGAAATATTTCCTTCATTCCTGATTCGGAATCTGGAAATTCCGTGTTCAATTCCCGGTCTGAAAATTACCTATCCTGACTTAGGTGTATTGTGGTTTCCTATAACACAAGCAGTCAAATTCTAGAACAATGTCTTAAAATTGGTCATGACCAGGACCCGAATTTTGACGACCTGAAAATATTTTAAAAATGACCGAAAATTTCAGAAAAATTACCTAAAATATGACCCAAAAAATGTAATATGCAGGGCCCAGATTTTGATGACCTGAAAATATTCAAAAAATGACCTATAAAATGACCGAAAAATCCAGAAAAATTACCTAAAGAAAAAAGAAAGAACACTTCGCTTCCATGTTATTCACATTTCAGAAAACACATGAAGAAAAATTCCCTAAAATGGCAAAAAATGACAAGAAATACCCCTAAAAGTCCAAAAATTTACCAAAAAATTACCCCCAAAATGAAAAAGACCTTAAACCTAAAAATGTTAAATAATGATAAAAAATACCTATAAAATTTACATTTCTGTAACCAGCAGCTCATATCCGAGATTTATATATTTAAGAGCATCGCATAGGATACAAGGAAAAAAAGATGACATGTCATCAAAATCCGGGCCCTGATCATGACCCACTAGACAGCCTTCCCAATTCAATGTAGGCAGTTGAACAACTACTTAAATCACTGCGTATATAATAAAATATGTTTTCGTGTGTTCCCCACCCTATCCAGGTATATGCCTAGACATCACGTTAACAGTGACTGAAATGCATCCTTCCACATCCCTTAAAATTGAACTTTATTCAACGCTAAATTATATCTGAAATCGATATTACCGTTCAGTAACATACGAAAGACAACCAGTTCTTGGAACGTCATATATTTGTGCCAGTTTTTATTGCTCTGTTAATGAAGTGAAGTGAATTAATAAATGATATATTCCCTCCTACTTTATCATGGATTTCACAGTTTCTTCATTCCTGGAAATCACTTCTTAGAAACCTTATGTAGCTTGTTTACCTGCAAAACAGAATCCCCAGAATGGTAATAAGTAGGATTCTAATCAATTCTGCAAAATATACAATGTAACTGTACGATGTTCAGCTAATTGAGGTCTGCTTTCCAGCTTCGGAGAAAATTTCACATCTTCTGAGAGGGCCACAATTACGCTGGTTGAGATGCAACAGATGGCCGGGTTTGGGGCCGAGGAAGGTTCTGACCTGACACGTATATTCTCATAAAACAACCGTGGGGGTGAAGCAGTCAGGTCAGTCTACTGTTAGGATATGTCCCTTGTTGCTATCGTTTCAAGGACTGACAGTTCAGGTAGGAGAAGGAGGTATTTGTCGGTTGCCCCACATATGAATAAATTGAAGTTTTTGTCTACAAGTAAAAGTTAATATTCGTCAATACGATTTGCTCCTCGTGTAAGAAGAAGCACAATAATTCGTCGTACCCGGTGACAGCCATACGAGTGCCCAACTGAATACAATTTGTGTTAACAGCGAAACAGGGTGCTCTTCTATAATCGCCACGTATCACTTAGCCGTGCAGGGATCCTTCGAGGGAAATCTCAATTTACAGCTACCTGAGATACCTATACGAGTATATCAAACCCATACATCACATAATAAGTTTGCACCTCGCTGTAGCCCAAATCACAGGTCGCAGTGGCCTATAGCAAGCATATAAGTCTGCATGTCTTGTTGGGACTCGAACCTTCGCACGTCAGCTTTCCCTCGGCCAATTAAACCACTAATTCACGAGAATATGCTTTGAATTCTTATGATGCTTAAATCAATTACTTTCAAACTAATATATCACGCCCAGAGTTAATGCGAATTACAAACAAAATCTTAGTTGGAAATCCAGATGCGTACAGGCGTAATTTGCCAGATGAGATAAAGCTAAAAGTTAAACAGACCGCCTCTGTGGTCTAGTGGTCACAGTTCCTGGCTACAGGTCCTGAGGTCCCAGGTTCGATTCTCGGCGGTACCAGATTTACTGAGAAGTAGCGGGTCTGGAAATGGGTCCACTCAGCCTCGTTAGGATAACTGAGGAGCTACTTCAATGGAAAAGTAGCGGCTCCGGTCTAGAGAACCGAACGGCCGTGGGGATTCGTTTCTCCGACCACGCGACGCCCTCTATCCGCTAAAGTTGGTACTAACTTCGCCGATAAGAGGCGGTCGCTCAGTCGCTATAGTTCGCTTGCGAACTCAAACCACTGTTTGTTTGTATCACTGTAACAGGCCCTGAAGGCCCATAGAGTTGTGAGAAGTCGAGGCTCCCGCATTTTCTCTAAACAATCGGCTCATAGATCGCGGTAAGGTTGACAGACTTATGCGCCGGCCGTCCTTTACCTTCCAAGGAAGCTTCCTGGTACTCATTTTTGTTAGTGTCTGAGTCGAACCCAGGGCCATAGTGCGGCTGGAAAGATTAGGTCAGTTACAAAAAGTCCACCTCATCTGGACTTGAACCCGCGACCTTCCAACTTGTAGCATAGTGCCTCAACCAACTACGCTACCACGTGCCCCCAGAATGAAAACTAGATGTAAATGTAACATTAAACTGTCTCTTGCATAACGGTTATCTTTTCAGTAAGCACTGAGTAATCACAAATTGCAGGAGAATATCTTCTACCAGACTGATTTTGTACTGAAGAGTACTATCTTGTGGGATGTGAGCCGTGCAGTCGAAAGAAAGTTTAATTCCATTTCAGAAGAACGTACTGTTTCCACCTGCAGCGTCGAAGCGTAAACCAAGCTAACAGCCGGCAACAGGCAAACCGAGCGCTCTGCCGGGACTTTGCTTCTGGCCGGTTGCTCGCTGGTTTACTTCTCGACGCTGAACATGTAGGCAGTACGTTCCTCCAAACTTCTACCAGACTGCACGGCGTCACATCTCAGCCAATAGTCCCCTTCATGATCACCACGGTGATAACCTCAAATGCAACATACTTTGCTGCTTAGTGTAAGTCTGCCCAGAAGAAAGGCCTTACCTTAATTATGAGGTTCCCAACGGAGGTAGGCGATCCCAAGGTAAATTCGGAAGCAGTCGATGCAATCGATTTGAACTGTCGTAGCAATAATAAAACACTAGAATCTAACACTTCCACCAGCACTGAGAGGGGAACACTAACCGCACTTGACCGGGGCAGCATTACGTACTACAACTAATAAAGCTACCTACACCTCGCACACCACACATCATACCCATCAGGGCTCGCGGAACGAACTGGCCGCGTTCGAATATATCCCGCGCGCGCTAAGCGCATGGCAACACATCGACCAATCAGAGCGCAGGACCAACACGAGATTTTAGAGTACAGTCTGCGAAGTAGAAAAATTGGACACGTGTCGCTCTGGACGGCGTCTTTTATTAGTTCATTCTTTCATTTATTTATGTCACGTTATTTATTGATTTGTTTATTTAGGTATTACCACGTTTAACGAATACTTATGTATACATTTTCTTGTTTCCTCCCTTTCTTATTTTCTGTCTCTTCATACTCTCTCTTTAATTTCGTCTTTGTTTTTTCTTCCTTTCTTTAGCTTCCTACGATCTTTATCATTTTTCTTTTTACTCTCAAGCCCTTTCCAATTTTTTGTATTTCTTTCTCTGCCGTCTCTTTCTCTTGATCTTTCTTTCGATATTATCTTTTCCTTCCTTCATAATTTTATCTTTTTTCCTTGCATTCCGTTTTTCTTCCTTCTTTCGTTTATCCCTTCCTCTCTGCAACACATTTCCTTATTTTTGTGATAAATTAATTCGAAGAACATGCAGAATGTAGGACTTATTTTGTCTAAATATATGTCAAGTGCTTAATTTGTTGGGTTACATGTAGATTTATTCAGATCATGGGATGTTTACAAATGGTAAGCTGGATGAATGGTGCGAAGTATAAATCAAAGTGTGAATCTTCTTAATTTTAACTATATTACATGATCTAGTGACGTCCTTAGCGGCAAATTGAAAAAAAAAAACAAACAAACAAAAGAGGAGTATGAACTGCTACTCGCAAAGTAATAAACATAAATGATTAAGGTTAGCCGTCGCCAAAACAAATGATCTAATGATCAATCAGTGTTGTTCAGATTAGATTTTATTTCCTGCTACATATTTCAGTCCTCATGGAACCATTATCGGTCAGTAATATATAGCAGGAAAGGAATAAGAATCAAATACTTCAACAGCCGCAAGAAGGCATTGGAACAATGTCGTATCCACAGGATTCAATATATTACGTTCTAAACATTAGCAAGAACTGGGTCACCCTGTGATCCATTTACATTTAGGAAAGTTACATATATCCAGAAGGAAGGATGAGAGAATGGACAGAATGACGGACGTATGAAATAAACACCAGAATGGCAATGTTTTCAATGAATGTTAAAAGCATTGGAAACTGCCTGCAGTGTTGATTAATCGAAAGCTTGCATGCTAGTCGATAACAGATTCCTTTGCAATGTTTGATAAAATCTGAAAACAGCGCTGGGCATTATGAATAGCCTACGTAACTGAATCTCATACCCAAAAAACACAGTCTGATCTAAAAAAAATAATGATCAATCTGTATTAACAGAAATATGGTCTGGTTTAAGAGAAAGACTGTTGTATTTCAGCACAATTCGTAACCAACGGATGTATTTAGCAGAAGCGCGTTATGAAAGTCTGTTTTTGTCAACTGGTTTTCAGGGAACAAAATGCCGTGTTCCAAAGGCTGTGAAACGTACGGAGTATCAGAGAAGGTTATTCAAATTGGGAACAAGTTAGTTTTAGGGCTATATGTCTCATTAATTATTCATAAAACATAAACATGTGCCTGCCGGTCACGGTAGCCGATCGGTCTAAAGCATGCACTGTCTTCGCTCGCTTGGAAACCGGGATCGTGGGTTCGAATCCCACTCAGATCATGGATGTTTAGTTTGTGTGTGTGTGTTTTTCTGTGTCTGTGTACAGGTAGAGGCCTTGCGACGAGCTGATCACTCGCCCAAGGAGTCCTACCGAATGTGTAGGATCTAGAAAAACCGAAGCGAACGGAGAAGTTCATGGAGGTAGGCCTAGGCCCACTGGGGCTGTAGTGCCAAGGGGAAAAAAAAAACATATGTCTACCACCAGTGAATAACTATAATAGGACTTAGCACCAGATGTGGGTATGGTTTCACGCTCTGGCTGCTTTACGTGCAGACAAATGTACCTTCTCAGTATCCACTGGCGACGTGCTTCGATGGACCTCAGGGCAGAGCGAGACGTGGTAAAGGAAAAGACTTTGTGTTCCTGAATTCCGTCATTCTCCATTTTTCAATTATCACCATACAAATAATAGTTGAAGAGCGAGATTCAGCAGTTTATGCAACATCTGTAAATTGCAATTTAATCGAGTTAAAAATAATCTATTTATAAGGTTTAAATATGTATTGTTGTTGTTATTGGAGGGGGTGGGTTTCCCCATGCACCGCGACCAGTTTGATCTATTGTGCGTCCCCCTATGATCTTCTACCAGCCTCTATACCCTACCGGTACTGGTGCTTACCATCAGTCCCTACTCAGCCAGCGAGGTCGGCCTCTACTGGCTCAGAGGTATCTCGATGCTTCCCCCATCTACCAGAGGCGTTAGAGACTACTGTTGGGCGGGAAATGTCCTTATTTAGCTCAGTGGCCTCCTTTGGAGACATGAGGTTCTTTTACGTGCCGTAAAGCTACGACACGGGACCCACGGCTTAAAGTCCCTCTCGGAGGACTTGTTCCCTGAATTTTTCCGCCTTTAAAAATTCCACGACCTCCGCCGGGTTTGAACCCGCGTACCTTGAGTCATGAGGTGGGAACGTTACCCCTAGACTACGGAGGCCGCTTTTTAAATATGTATATATTCTTAATCGAATGGACACTAAAATCGACTAAGTTATTGCCTTGATTTCAATCTTACGTTTAGGTTTCTTATTCTGCATTTTGTCTTGTCATTTTATTCATTCTCTTCTACCACTTTACTGTTACCTGAAACTACAGGTTATCTAAGCGCTGACGTAACTGACTTGCACTCGGAGACATCCGCTTCGAGTTTTGTGCGGGGTAGCAACTGTGCTATGCAAGATTTTATACACGAACGTGAGGAAACTACATACTCCCGTTCGCCCTGTCTTAATCTCCCTGTATCATCCCTTTGGTCTGTTCCACCTTAAATAACCCGCATATATTTTGTAGCATGGCTAAATTTGAGCACGAAATGAGATTTATTTCTCCAAGTTTCCATCTTGCTTCCCACCTCTTTCGTTCTTTCTAACATTCTTTATTCTTCTGTCCTTTCTTCTGTTGTTCTGATGTATTGTTTCCATTCTTCTTATAGTCCTACATTCTTTCTACCTACCTTCTAATCTTCAATCTCTTCTTCTCTCTTTCCATTTCTATAGTTTTCCGTTATGTGCAATGCTACCGTGAGTTCCAAGAAACTTGTTGACGTTGAGATAATTATGAATTGCGAGTTTGAAAATTAATTACAGTCCGTGTTTTTTATTTCTCTTAATTTGACATGTTAATTAATTCTTGCCTGAATTACATGTACTCAGTCTTCCTCAACTGCAATTCGACACTGACCCCCGTAGTTGAAAAAAAGTTGTCTAAATAACCTAATAATTAATTAACAACCAAATTATCTGGACGTCCACACTTATAGACCCGATCTGCCTGCAGATTCAGACGAGCCTTCACGCGGGCAGGCTGTGCCATGTCATACTTACGTGCCTCGCTTTACAACGGCGTGTACTTTCGTTTCATTATCCGGCTTCTTTCGTTGTTCGGTTTGACCTTTTACATATCTCCCATTAAGCGTTTACAATTGCACCAATCTTGGTGATAATGACTGTCCGTTCGCACTTACTTTTATTACGGAACATCCACGACCAAGCCTTTTTACTTTTCTCATGATATTCGATATTTGTAGGCCTATTTCAATGCCATGTCCTGCCTGGAACATATTCACAATATCTTGACTAGAAATACGGCAATGAACATTTCTTCTTCTGTTTTTAAAAACAGGCCGAAAAGCCTCTCTTGCTCCTGCCCAAGGGTTATTAATTCTGCCAATATTTGTGTGATCTGGGAAATTAAAATCAAATAACTAGTAGGGTCGGAATAGCGTAGTTGGTATAGCGACCGGCTACGGGCTGGACGACAGAGGAGGTCGGAGTTCGAATCCCGGTAAAGTCAAGAATTTTCTCTTCTCCATGTCGTCCAGGCTGTATATGGGGTCCACCCAACCTCCTATCCAATGGGTATCGGGGGTAAAGCGGCCGGGTAGCGAAGCAGACCACTCACTTCCAGCTAGTGCGGAGGTCAAGAAAATATGCGTCTATACATCCAGTTCCCCATACGCCTTCATGGCTTAGTGCTTAATTAGTTAAGTACAAGGGAAAACTTTACCTTCTTACCTATATTTGTACTTCGTCAAGGTTGGTAATTCAAAGTGGTTTTTGATAATATGTCTTTCGGAATTTTGTCTAGGTATCGCATCATCGCTTTGCAACATTCTGACTTGTCCTCCATCTGTTACTTACTTACTTACTTACTTACTCATGGAGCTGAGCCCTTCTGGAAGAGCCGCCAATTCTGCAGCTACTCAAGAATTTCCCAGCATTTTATGGCCGAAGGTTCATCACCGTGTTCACAAGAGCCCTCCATTTGTCCCTATCCTGAGCCAGATCTATCCAATCCATACCATCCCATCTTCTCTAAGACCCATTCTAATATTATCTACCCACCTACGCCTTGGTCTTCCTAGTGGTCTCTTTCCTTCTGGCTTTCCCACCAATATCCTATACAAATTCCTCGTCCCCCCATTCGTGCTACATGACCTGCCCACCTCATCCTCCGTGACTTGATCATTCTAATTATACTTGGATAAGAGTACAAGTTATGAAGCTCCTCATTATGAAGTTTTCTCCAACCTCCTGTCACTTCATCTCTCTTCGGTCCAAATATTCTCCTCAACACCCTGTTCTCAAACACCATCAGTCTATGTACCTCCCTTAATGTCAGAGACCAAGTTTCAAACCCATACAGAACCACAGGCAAAATTGTAGTTTTGTATATTCTAAATTTTATGTTTTGGGGCAACAGACGAGAAGACAAAAGGTTCTGGACTGAACGGTAGCAAGCATTACCCGAGTTCAATCGCCTCTTAATTTCCTCCTGAATCAGGTTTCGATCTGTTGTCGT